CGTGAAATTGTGCGTCTGTGTGTGTGTGAATGTGTGTGTGTGTGTGTGAAGGGTCCTTTTTTTTTTCTTTTTGGGGCGGGCGGGGAAATCCCCCTAACACGACTCAGACGGCCCATGCAGGCTACCTGAAGGGTCCTCGCAGCCATGTAGCGCAGACCCCCCCACCAAAATCAAGGCATGCAGTTAATATGAAGTAGAGCTCGAGCTGGCCAAATATATACTTAAGATTCGACTTCAGGTCTGTGTTTCAGCAGTTATGGGTTGCTCACGTAACTAGGGCCTGCTGGTCTCTGCACGTGACTCTTAGGGCGTGGCTGCACTACTCACCAAATGTGTCAAACTAGAATGAATCTTTTGCAGAACATGGAATAATACGCCGCCAGGGTCCCATTGTATTTTCTTCTCTCGTATTCACGGCAGCCACAGCAGAGAAAGAACAAGAAGAAAAAAAAGCAAGTAAAAAAAAAACAAAAAAAAACTCCACTTATCCGTCCATACTTCAGCCCTTCGGTATTTTTCATCGTATTCGGGGCCGTCAATCCTGGCGGCCTCAAATCGAACTTCCGTCGGGAGCTTATCCGTTCGACACAGCAGGCATTTTCATGCCTTATTACTCATTCGATATCAAATGCATAAGCCATGTGCGCGACTAATACACGCAGTCCACCCAGTCAATTAACCCTGATTCGATGGGATAGCAATCTACTCCATAAAACCGTGAGATACACGTGCAAAAATAACAGAATTTATCCGGAAGATCGGTGAAAAATTCCAAATGTGGAGAAGGAGGGGAATCAATGGGGTGGGGAGTAGAAGAAGAAGAGGTCGTCATGGTTTGTGGAGAGAGAGAGAGAGAGAGAGAGAGAGAGAGAGAGAGAGAGAGAGAGAGAGAGAGAGAGAGAGAGAGAGAGAGAGAGAGATCATGTCCACTTGATCCTTCAGAAGGATCTCCACCTCACTGTACTGGGCTCGTGTTTTGGCTCTGGATCGTGCCACAGCGTCACTTCCTCATTCTTGGGTACCTTGCCGGGTCGATGCAACCGTGTCAGCTCGTTCGCATTGCCGTGTCTCTCGTGCTTCCGATGACGAATGCCAAATTCCATGCTCTGCAACGTGGTAGTCATCGTCCGATTATACCAGAGCAGTCCTTGGATTTCTTCAGGGCCAACAGTGGTTCATGATCAGTCACTAATGTGAACTTTCGGCCATATACGTAAGCCCGAAAGTGACTGATTCCCCACAAGGCCGCGTAGCATTCCCCCGTTGGAGCGAAGTAGTTCCTCTCAACCCATATAAGAAGCATGTCCTCATTGATAGGAAGGCCCTCGTCAATAATGATATTGTGAAGTATGCAGCAGGCGATGAACTGTTTGCAGTTGTTTTTCATGTTAGGGATGTGTCGCCGCCCGAAACAACGCCACACGCCTTTCAACCTCCCAAAGCATCTTTCGATGCTTGCTCGCAGAGTTGATAACTTCGTATCGAACGCAGATTCCACTGCATTGCCCCCTAAAGGGGTTATCAGCCATGGCAGCAAAGGAAATTCGGTGTCACCCAAGACGTACCTCTCGATCACTGTCCTATCAGACAGCACGTTTGTTCGCCTGGCGAACGGCTCCCTCACCTCCTCCGCATGATTACCAACGTCTGAAAGCCGCTAGACGCGCGAATCGTGGATGGAACCTGGAGCCCCCATGCACACATGAAGAATTCACAGATTTTCATCGCACACGACTTGAGCGACGATTGAGTATTGCGACTTTCTGTCGTAGTACAACTCCTCCCCTCCACATGGCTTGTTCATGTAGATATGGGTGCAATCAACAAGCCCGACACAATCGGGGAATCCTGTCGCCTTGAAGTAGTCGAGCGTTGCTTGTAGACCTGCCCCGTTCGACCACTGCAGTTTATCCCCGTACTCGCGCAAGAGGGCATTGGAAACAGCATGAGTGCATCGGACAGTGTTGTGAAGACCGATGCACATGTCGCCCATCTGTACAGGGCGAATGTGAACTTCAAGTCCGCTGCCAATGGCGCACGCCATAGGGTGACTTGCCTTTGGATATGTGGAGCGATGCGGGCCAAGACGCGGACGAACGTCGGTTTCATGAGCCTCGTGTACAACCTAAACTCCTTGTCATGCTCCACACCCTCCATCAGCAGCCCCTCCCATGTTCCCCCTACACGAGGGCACGCCCAAAAACGTCGTCGACCGTGGATTCTGAAATGCCAACCTCTCCCGCAGTCGTGCCTGCTCGCCTTGTCCAACGCCAAAATGAAGGCCATTGCGGATGTCGTATACGAGGCAACGATGTTCGTTGCCATGTGGAGGATGATGAGCAGAACCATGAATGTCACGTATTGCCTCATCCTCAGCCATCGCACGGTAGCGACGCACATCAACACCACTTCGGCCGGTGACATCTCCGCACGGGCATGGCTGTGTGTGTGTGCCCCTTTGCMCCCCGCTCCCGCCTCAGAAAGCTGCCCGCGTCTGCCTCTTCGTCTTTTGTGGCGGCTTGAAGGCCATGATGTATGCAACATGTCCTCCAGACCACCCCCGTCACCAGCGACGCAACGCCACGACGTCCACGTGTGTGTTTCCGTTGCAGGGGGTGACGGTGTCATCTGCGGCCTGTTAGTAAAAATTTGCACGGGACCAACCGAACAACGACTCGCGGGTCGGTGGAGGAGTCCCAGTGTCTTGGGCCAGGTTTCACTCTCTCCTGGCCAAACGACCCATGGGTCGGTGGAGCAGTCCCTGTGGTTTGGGCCAGGTTTCACTCTCTCCTGGCCGTTGGCATATGCCGTGGCCCCCACTTCGGGAGCCCAGACCATACGGTGGTCCACAGGAACGTCAGTCACCGTGGAAGGTCAAAAGTTCAGGCCGCAGTACTTGGGAAAGACCCGCGGAACAGCGTTAGTGTGGGGTCCGAGTTTGCTTTTCCGCCCCGTCCGATCCGTTGCCTTCTTTTTAGGGACTTTACTCTTTTTTCTCTTTGGGAAAATTTGTCTGGCGCCCCTGTAATTTGCGTTATTTCGCGTCACGCCCCTCCGACGGCCGATTTACCCTGTCGCGCCCCTCTGAGCAGGGTTCAAATTTTACATAAGACCCCTGTGTCATTTGGGCCTCAAATCTTTTCGTTACGCCCCTACCGGTACCGGTCCCTAATTTGTGGGATGCCCCTACCGGATGGCCGTTAAAAGCCAGTGGAAAACTTTTTGAGATGCCCCTACCGGTACCATTTGCTGCCAAGCCATTTGCTGCTACGTCATCTGCTGCCACGTCATCTTCTGCTACGTCATCTTATGCCACAGCATCTGCTGCCAGTCCATTTGCTACCAAGCCATTTGCTACCAAGCCATTTGCTACTACGTCATTTGCTACTACGTCATCTACTATCTGCTGCCAATCCATTTGCTACCAAGCCATTTGCTGTTACGTCATCATCTGCTGTCACGGCATCTGCTGCCAAGAGGGTGTCTGCTGCCAAATCGTCCACAACTGCCACATCCTCTACTGCTTTCCCAGATGCAGGGGCGGCTCCCTCTTGCGACAAAAGAAAGGATGTTAGTGGTGGACAGTCTGAGTCAACGACGAGGGCAACGGCCACCTCGATCAATGCAAAGGTGGGAAAGAAGAAGTCTGGCATGAAAATCAGGGGGCGGGCGTTGGCTCTTGCTAGTCCGTATCTCGTCTCTTCCGAAGGTAAGATCGATGGAAGAAGATGATGACGATGGAAGAAGATGATGAAGGATGAGAGGGGTGTTGTGATGGCGCTGCGCGCCTATGGCTGGTTGGTGGACTGTACAACGTTCCCGCCCTCTCTCTCTCTCTCTCTCTCTCTCTTGCTCGCCGTTGGTTTATCAAAGTTCCGAAGTTCCGAAACGTACGGTCATGATGGCCATGTGTACAATGACAGTTGCCCAAAATGCAACTATAATGACTGTCATTGTAGACGTTTCCGAACTTTGATAAACCAACGGCGAGCAAGAGAGAGAGAGAGAGAGAGAGAGAGAGAGAGAGAGAGAGAGAAGTCACCAACTCAACCTTTCTCTCTCTCTCTCTCTCTCACACACACACACACACACACACACACACACACACACACACACACACTTGCAGTGAAGCCACAATATGGCACAGGGCCTGATGGAAACGTGAATTTGTGGCGCCTCATGGCTGCGGGGGCATTGCAGAAAGATGGCTGCCCGTCATGAGGGCATATGGCACAGGGCCTGATGGAGAAGGGACCGCCAGTCCACGGAGGGCGTCCTGGAAAGTTGCGGTCACTACCGACAAGGGCCTGCCGAAAATATTTTTTGGCCCAGGGGCGCTACAGGGTAAATCGGCCGTCGGAGGGGCGTGAAGGGAAATAATGCAAATTACAGGGGCGCCAGACAAATTTTCCCTTCCTTTTTTTTTGTATTGTGGCGCCTGGCCAAGTCCCACCAGCATGGTAGAGTTTCTTCAACGCCTGAATCTGGACGTTCTTGTGAAAATGTGCAGAAATTGCGTTGCTTTTCCTCAACAGCACCTATCCACGAACAAACACATCCAGATTCAGGCGTTGAGGAAACTCAACGCTGCAGGTGGGATTTGGCCCCTGGGGTGATGGTGCTGATGGTGATGCTTTGGGTCGTTGCGTTCGTGCTCACTGCTCAGTTCCTGCGTAGATGCGGCTTACGGGTGGCGCGCTGTGAGCAACTGGCACGGCGAGCAAATGTGTTGGAGTGAGGAAATTGCTCCTAAGTGCCAAGTCTGCGACTATGGAGTTCCGGCGTAGTAGAGAATGTGAGGAGACAACACCACCCCATTCTGGGGACTGTGTCTCGCGCGTACTCTGTCGAGCGTCAGTGTTGATGACGGTGCTGATGGTGACGCTTTTGGTCGTTGCGACTGTGCTCAGTTCCTGCCTAGGTGCGGGTCACGGGTGGCGTGCTGTGAGCAGCTGGCACCGGGAGGACAGGTGTCGGAGTGCTGGCAACGGGTCTGAGAACAGCATCCGTGCTTGGTGGAATGGGAGTAGTGCCTCCCACGCTCATCGGAGTGGTTCCGCTTCTCTTGAACAGAGGACATACAACTCAAGGTCTCTCAAAGTCAGCGATGCTATACTGCCAGCGATCCGCGATCCTGAGCTGATAGTGAACAAGACGAAGGTGCTCACTTTGACAGACTCGACACTGAAGCCGGTGTTTCCCGCGTCGATCAGCAACTCCTTCGATTTGGCYRGCTGCARTAACRTCCTCGAAGACTTGGTGCTCGCATCCAATGGCTCTRTCTTGTATTATGTTCTCGACCAGCGGTGCTACAGTCAGTTGAACGGGTCCGACTCGGAGGAGTTCACGTCGAGTTTGCTGCACTCCGTACGGAAGGCTGAACGGAGGGCAGGCTCAGGGGKATGGGAAGCCTTCCAGAACGATTCGCTGATTACTTACTSGTGGGCGTTTAACGATAGCGATGGCATGAGACCCTCCTCGCCAATCATCTTCAACGAGAACTCGACAATGGAGCCGATGATGTGGCTGAATGGCATGGACTTGTCCGACGAAGGGACGACTTTGGTGCTAACCACTSAAACACATGAGGCCATGGGCAACCCGCTTGAGGAGGGGAGCTGGATGGTAACCTTGCTCTCTGCTGTGAATGGCACTAGGCGATCGATCCCCCTGCCGGGGATGACCGCTTGTGGCATGGGGTTCGATCCGACGAAGACCAACGCCTACCTTGTGGATATGGCCTATCCGCCGCGTCTGATGTCTGCAGACTTCGGAGCTCTGCTGGGGAGTGGTGCCAGCATTACAGGTGACATGTTGTTCAAGCCCGAAGCCACCTTCCGTCGCGAAATGGGATTGAACCTCTCCAACTTGGACGTACGTCCGCAAGGATTCACTCCTGATGGTAGTTGCCTGTACATAGTCGACAGTTGGGAGAATAATATATTTGCCGTCGATCTGTCGACGAGGAACATAACTCTTGTCGCTGACCGGAAAGCAGTTGGTCTTAAGGAGGGAGTGACGGACCAATTGAGAGAGGTTGTGGTAACCAAGGACGGGTGCAATGTTTTCGTTAATGACATCAACGGTTATTTGCGATGGATTCAGTTAAAAGCGCAGTGCAGCGAAGCGCAAACGGCGGATGTCGTCGTGTCTTATATCGCAGGCGGTTTCTGGGGTTTGGCGATCCAGGAGGATGACAACGGGGTTGGCCTGTACATTGGAACGAATGACGGACACGTGTTCCAGCTGGAAGTAAATAAGTCCGCCCTGCACGCATGCCCCCCGCCCTCCCGACCACTACCGCCCTCCACGAGCCCTCCCCCTCCCCCATCTTCTTATCCTCCTCCCGTCATCTCATCATCCTCTCCCCCACCGTCCGATCAACCCTGGGTGTCCGCTCCGGATGCCAAAAGCGGCCGAAATCTAGCTCTAGCWGTCTATCTGCCCGTGGCCATTGTGTCAGGCTTTGCCATCTGTGCGGGCCTCCTGGTCGGTCTCTTCTGCTATCGGAGGCGGGAAAGTCGAAAGCCGCTGGAAAGTCGGGAGCGGCGGGAAGGCGCGGCGCTGCCGCCGCTTGGACAGCACCCACCTGCCCCTCCCAGTTTGTCTTATTCCTCCCTAGCCGGTAGTTCACTGCCCGATGATTCTCGCAAGGGAGCATCGAGCAGCCATGAGCGCGTCCAGAACGTTCAGCCCTTCAGCGTGACCTCGTTCCCGCTGGAAACCTTGGCGTTCGTCACTGGCAATTTCGGTGATGATTATCGCATGGGAGACAAAGGTGCTTTTGGCGATGTCTACTGGGGGGCTCTTGGCGACAGGGAGGTCGCTATCAAGGTGATGAGGGGCGGCGTGACGGCGGASAAGCRWAAGCAATTCGTCGTCGAAGTGAGCACATTGAGCAGGCTCCATCACTCCAATCTCATCGACCTCATAGGTTACTGCCAGGAAGGGAATACGTGCATCCTTGTATACCCCTACTTCCGGGGCGGCAGTCTCTCCGGTCGCTTGCACAAAAGAGATGCCACTCCTAGGACAGAAGCCGGTGCTCCAGCTCCTCCTCTTACGCTAGTGGAGCGCATGTGTGTGGCCTTTCAGATCGCCAAGGGTCTCCGCTATCTTCACACGGATGTAGAGCCCCCGATCATACACAGGGATATCAAGAGCAGCAACGTCCTTCTGGAAGATGGATCGGGGGCGAATCTGCGCGCCGTCGTCGCCGATTTCGGACTGGCGAGGATGTGTGACAACCTCTTCGATACGCAATTCGGGACTATTGCGCTGACWAGCCACGTGGCAGGTACCCAGGGCTACATGGCGCCGGAGTACCAGCTGAGAGGCAAGCTGACGGTCAAGAACGACGTGTACGCTTTTGGCGTTATCCTCCTGGAGCTGCTGACGGGTAGGAAGGCGATCACGCCGGGACCACCGCCAGGGGGAGAATGGCAAACGCTTGTGGAGTGGGTGAGACCGTCGCTAGGAGGTCCTCTAGATCTTGACACCATACCGATCGAGATTCTCGACACGTGTCTGCGAGACCAGGTGCGGACCGATGCTGTTATGAGAAGAATGGTGGTGGGCACGCTGCTGCTGGCGCGGGACTGCGTCGAGGAGGTCGACAGCTCCAGGCCAACGATGAGTGCGGCCGCCGAGAGGCTGGGTAGTTTCCTGTCAGACGCAAACGTAAGGGGCAGGGCACATAGGTAGGATACTTGGAGAGGGAAGGCCAAGTGCCAGACGGCGATGGAAATAGTCTGCTTTGTTGTCTTGTTGTTCAGACAGCCAAGTACGGCGGGAAAGTCCAGGTGTCGGAACAGAAGGACGGAGAGTCCAGCAGGGTCAAGGTGACATGCCTTCGCTGAGTGTTTTTTTTTTTTTTTTTCGCTGAGTTTCTCGAATCGGGCCCATTCTCCGTGTTATTTAAATCGGCAGTCTCGAAAAGTTATCGGGATACTGACTGTCTTCCTCCGAACGGGACGCACCCTAATCATGAAGGTAACCGAGCGCTACGTGGAGTCCAGGGGCCGTGTCCCACTAGCGGGGGTTTAGTTTATGTTTCGTGTATTTTCTAACGTGGTCACACTACTGGTAGGGCCGTGAGATTTTCAGATCGGATGGCAAGGAGCCATATAATGTATATATATTCGAAACGGATGATGCATTCCTGCCTGATGATGGTTCTCGGGGACACGCTACTAAGAATTCCGTTAGTG